CTATTATGAGATGTTTAAAAGACTTATTAGCACAAAACATCCATACGTTTTAATTTTTTGCATTTTCACCCTTATTTCCATGTTTCATTATGGAAAACGTCATTTCTGTTAATCTGTTGATAGTGCCACAGTTAAATACATACATGGACTCCGTTTTGTTTTAAAACAAAAAGGGTAAAATGGTCAGGCCACTTCAAAAAGAGAGAGAGTGTGTGTGCGCGCGCGCATGCGCGCACGTATTCTTCTCACCAAAAACAAGTTATTCACAAGTATAAAAAAAGAAGAAGAAGAAGAAATTAAGCAGTAATAGATTACAAAACTCTGAAATGGCAGCAAGCATGGAAATTAATCAAACAAACGAAACAAAATCAAGTTTTTGAATCTGAAATGTTGTGTAAAATCGCATTTATGAAATGCAGCGCGTTTATTATTTGAAGTCCACCGTTCATCGTCACTTAGGCTGACGCATTTACCATTTTCTAGTTGTGGCTTTCATACCTGCTCTCATCCGCCGTTACTCTCCATTGCAAAGCGATATCAAAAATCATAAAACTCAGTTTTCTCATTATTCTGCATCAAATACAGAGCTGTGAATCTGTTTTTTCCTCGAAATTGAATGTGCAAAACGTTCTTATATATCAACAAGTTTTGCGAAAACGTCCCTATGTTGCAGAAGATTTTGCATAAAACATCTTTACGTTTTGAAGGGTTTTGCGAAAAACATCCATATGTTTCGTGTTTATGTGAAAATCATCCCTGCCTTATCTTGTAAGCTTCATGTCCTACACAGCAACTTGGCACACTAATCAATCAAGCTACTCAACGCGCTGATCAAATTACAATTTAAAGACAGCAAATCAAATCTATAAATCGAGGCATCAATAAATAGAACCGTTAAACAAAAATCGAACAAAAAAACTTAGCACGAGGATGAAGTCACAACCAAAAGTGTTCAACATAAATATATATTATGTCCAGCATTCAACAACAGAAAACCACAACATTCATAGACATTTTGGCTTTTATTCTATTCATCATTCACACACATCAAGAAAAAAAATTTACAGTTCAGGCCAATCTTAAAATCACTACAAGTGCATTCAAACCAAAATAATAATAGCAATAATAATAAATTAGAGACTATCCCTAATTAGATGCTGGTGGTGATGCAATTCACTGAGAGAAAAACCCAATTCACTGAGAGAAATTACTTTCTCCCAGTTCACCAACTACGTGCATGCAGTAGCCCACGACGAGATGTTAGGAGAATGGGAGGAAGCTGAGATTTCGAAAGGAAACCATGCATGCGTGTCTGTTATGTTCTTGCTGGAAGAAAACTCTCTTCTTCTTTTTTTAAGTGATCCGACTATTTTACCCTTTTTGTTTAAAATAAAAGTGAGTCCATATGTGCATTTAATGGTGTGACTAACAGCAGATGAATAGAAAAATGTTTTCCATAATGAAATAAGAAAATAAGGATGAAAATGCAAAAAAATAAAACGTGGAGATGTTTTACCCACTAAAGGCCAAAAGTAAGAACATTTTGTGCTAATAATGCATGTTTACAAATAATTTCTTGCCCTTTCTGGTCCTGATTACAATAACTCTAATACTATAGTCAAATCAAATGTTTCATTTGAAGGACATGTAATTTAGTACTATTGACTTTAAAATGGTTAATCTAAGTACGACGATGACAAATACAAGAGTGACGGTCACATAATAATTCCTCTCTTTAAGTCCAAATTTAGTACTATTGACTTCAAAATGGTTAATCTAAGTACGATGACGACAAATACAAGTGACGATCACATAATAATTCTTCTCTTTAAGTCCACAGGATTGTGAAAGGGTTAAACAATTATTGATTTATTTGATGCATGAATTTCGAAGGCTCTCGACTTCGCATGTAAAGACGAAGATTGCGAGGTGGGTGAATGAACAATTGATGAAGGTAATTAAATTGATTTGAGTGAGGCAGATGTATATGATGAATGCTTTCATGTCACTTGTTGAAACTTTTCTTATTGTGTGTTTTTTTGGGGCCCATTGCATTATGAATTTTGAATTTGAGCCCTCATTGTATTGTTTCGTTATAAATTGTGTTAAGAAGAAGAAAGCTTGTAGTCATGAATGAGTATATTTTCCTAGAATATACTTAAAAGTGGCCAAGTTTCTAACATATCTTATCATCATGGTTTCTTTCAAACCCCACCCACCCCCATGACAACAAAAAAGGGAAGAAAATAACTCTGAGTCGAGATCTACTGTCTTCATGACAATAACCTGCTAAACATCACAATTTTTTTTTTCCTATAACCTTTAAAATTGACACCTCAAAGTCGTAGTAAGGGATCAAAATTGTAGTGGCAGGGTAAAAGTGTACAAAGTAACGGGTGGTTGATCAACAGGATCAGAATGTTAATTTGATCCCACCGACTTCCACTTTATAATAAACCATTTTTAACAGAAATCTGGTAACTTCGGAACATGGAAACATTTGATCAACATGTATGAAGGTTCATTCTTTAAGCTAACCAAACACGCCCTTAATGGAAAAAAAAATGTTCAGCAAAAATTTTATCGGTGTTCTCGAGTACTACCTAACAAACATATCATAAACCTTTTATTCGAGTACTATAGAGAATTTGGATGACTAATCACCTGTGAACGCCGATAGAAAACATTTACTGAAAAAAAGTCATATCTCATTACTAGAAGCCTAAGGTAGATTAGTCTTCAGGAGGATTTATTTAAGTGCATGACTTGTAAAGAAATAGACCTGATCTGATCATTTTTGTCCTGATGAAAATACAAAGAAAGATGCCAAATCTGTCAAATATATGTGCTGCTTTTGTCAAACTATCAACAGTTTAATTCCTTTCAGGGAGTCAATCAAAGAAAAAAAATATAATTATGTTTCTCTCAGTAACAAGAATTAATGGAGTTGAGCCAAAATGAGAAATAAACAAAACATTCATAGAACAAATCAACATTGATTGTTGCTTACAAAATTTGCCAATTCTTCACCTGAATAATTAAATATCTCGGACAAAACATAGCTTCAAGTAGACGTTTCAAATAAATACAACTTCGGTTTTGTTAAAAAATGAAAAACAGATCTCGACCTGGATGTTACGTATTACAAGGAAATAATTTAAAGGATAGCGACATGGTAACGCACCTCGAAGTATCAGATGATGCAGAAAGATTTCTAACAAATATGTCTTTCATGGAACATTCATAACTTGAATAGATTGCAGCATATCAGAGACAGCAATTACTAAGTCACCAGATTTAATCATTCCCCGCGATTTGAGCAAAGAGAAAGTCTTGTTTAGGTTGCTTTCCATATTATCAGAAAAGCACAAACGGAATGGAATAAGACCCCATTGCGTGTTCAGATGTCTTTGTACAGACATTGTGGTAGTGAATGCAAAAATGGGGCAGTCAGGTTGACAGCTCGATAGAAGGGATGCCATGTGACCTGCCTCTGTGTAAACAAAAATAGCATCCACTGCCCCCACAGGCATGGCGCAGTGGTAAAGTATGAGAGTTCTCTACGGAGTATCAAAGGTCCGAATCCCCGCAGCTGTTGGAAGACAACATTTAAATGTTGGAAGGCAACAAGTGTGTATAAGCTGTGACTGCATCCGGATTAATCCGGATGGCGAACCAAGGGAAAGGCCGACACTCCTCAGAATTAGTCAGGCGAAGCTTGGACACCTGAGTCATCCAAAAAAAAAAAATAGCATCCACCTCCAAATTGTTGGCTGCAATATAAAGAGCCTGAATTAGTACCTTCAATGAGAGAAAAAGTAAACCCGAAAACCTGCAAAAGGAAGAGTTTCTGATCCAAAGACCTCCTTTTAGGGCATTCAAATCTTATATTGAGGGAAAAAAATTCTTCATATTATGTCATCTGTGACATTACTAAAATGGATAAGATATGAAATGAGAATATACACTCAAAAGTAGAGGTGGCACCAATTGAAGATAAATTAAGGGAATGACAACTATGGTGGTCAGGTCTTGTTTTGAATCGACCTAAAGAGGTCCCCGTTTGTTAGATTGATGCAATTTCAGTACAACAAGTTAGAAGAGGGACGGGTAGACCAAAATTAACATGGTCTTTGCTGTAGTTGTCAAGGATCTAGTTGCTTTAGTTCTTCCATATTTTAATTTATCGGAAATAAAGCTTAGTTCACTGTTATTATTTTATTGTATGCCATCCATGGCATTCAGGTTAAGCGGTCAATAAAGTAGTCCAAACGCTGGAGTTGTCCCCCATAAAGAAAGGTCAGAGCCTGGGGTTTCTCTCTCGTTCAAGCAGTAAATATGAAGAATAAATTAAATTGATGTTGCTAATCACGAGGAATATGAAGAAAAATATTCAAAACCATTTTAGCAACAGAGTTGCATCTCTCTTCAGAAATACTGTCTACAAACGAAGAAGCTATGCCCGGGAGTTCCATAGCTTCATGGCATTTCTCCTCCCTCCAACATTTCTCAATTCTAAGACTGACACTTTTTTTTCCCTTCCCCCAAGGCACATCTCTAAGTGGTAAAAGGGGAAGTGGAAAATCTCCAACTTTGTTTGAGGCTGCCGCGTCAAGGGTTCGAATTCTGAAATATGGATTTGACCATTGGGTAAGTGCAAGTATACAAGCAGCCTTCCACCCTATACCCTTGGAGGCATAACCTGCAATTTACCTCCTTCACCAAGGCCTAGGGCAGGGCAAGTGGGGGCCGTCAAGGATACGGCTCATCCTTTTTTAAGACTAACACTTTTCAGAACAGTCAATGCCTTCTCAGGGTACTGGCCCATGGCAGATTCACCAGAAAGCATTAAAGCATCCGCCTACTGGCGAACTGCTTCAGAAACATCAGCTCTAGTAGGGGTAGGGTACTCTATCATAGGTTCAAGCAATTGAGAGGCTACAATGACAGAATTGACGAATGATATAGCATTAAATTCAACACCCTCAGCAATCCCGAAATCAATGTCCAACCAATCCTGAAGAAACAAAATGCTCGAGTGAGAGTAACTATAAAATTTCAAATGTATAATGATGTCTCGAAATGGACTGGCACAAACACAAACATGTTGACGTAACCTAAAAATTAGGGAAAAAAACATGCGCAATGAGTCAACGACAAAACTGAATTCCGCCATGCATTTAAGAATGAATGCTATTAGGGCACTTCAAGGTACAACAATAACCTGAGTTGCATTTAACTCTTTCAGACGAATAACATTCAGCAAAAACTCTGGATACCATTTATATTTCTTTCCAAATTCAGATCCCTAATAGATCCTAAAGTTAGTTGACGAATCACCAAGTTAACATGTACGTATATAGGCTGTAAGTTGTTTATCTCACCTAGCCAACTATTACCGGCGACTCATTGTCAAAAACATATCAAGAAGTGGTAATTCAACACTGTATAACTTAAGCATCCAACAAAAACATGTTTAGAAGTAGATTTCCGGAGCCAGATGAAGAGACACTGGATGGTCAGATTAAAGAGAACAAATCAAAAATGTCTTCTTCCTCAATTTGTGTTGAATCAACTCAAAATCCTTGTAAAAGTATGCACAGGCGAAGGAGGAGGTTTAATAGCTTTAAAGAGATGGATAATTAAATTAACCAAACATTTTTTTATGAGATACCGATCACCAATGACAATCTAGCAATTTTTCTCACACGGCTAACGAAAGTGTTGCCCTCGTAGTTTTAAATATATAATACTTGAACTGAAAAGTAGGGGTGAGAAAGCAATATTCAATTATACTAAACAAAAGTAAATTATAATATATTTTCTTAGCAAGTACTCCTGCTATCTCATGTTGTTTGACATAATACTTTTGATGTCATACAGAGAATGTCACCATCCAAAATGGGGAAAAATATCCAAAATTGGACATTCAAAGTTAAAAATAACAAATGAAGAAAATATGGTGGCCACACGTTCAAAAGAATACCATAAAACGTTTGAAATTTTTAATATAAGTGGCGAGGTGTCAAAGAAAACAGAGACTTTTCTTGACCTTTGTGAAGAGAGATGGTAATGAATTAAGTGAAGGCCTCTCTTGAAGGCCAATTTATGATAAACCAAAGCTTCAGATTGGAACTTCTAACATTTGGAAGAGAATGTATAGGTTCAACCATCAACTTAGGAAGAAAGGAAATTTTTGAAGAAAGCACAGATGGATGGGAAATATACTGTTTTCTGCATATTCATTTAAATATATATGCTTCATACCCTCAGCAAAGCTACCATAGTTCACATTAATAGTGCGTTTGTGAAGAGGTGAATGCTCGAACACTAAAAGTCCATATTTCACCGTCCTGCATAAGAAACATAACTCATTAAATTAAACGTCAAACAAGAGATTGCAAAATGGATATTTAAAGTTGGCAATGAGGAAGATTGTTTCCTTTGCTGCTTCTTCAAACAAAGAGCATACTGTCCATCTCTCCAAAGAAAAAAAAATTTCAAATAAGTTTCAAACAAATATATCAAATATTTTACAGCAAAAATGAGTGAATCCTTTGAAAAACCAATTTTGGAGGGCAATGTAGATTATATTTAGCCCTTATTTGATCCCCATTATTTTCAAAATACATTTTTCTCTCTTCTTTTCAACCACACATTTTTTAATAAAATAATATTACACGCAAACCTAAAACTTTTTCTTAGTTTTTAACTATACATTCTCCATCAATTTACTATTCCAAATTGCATTCTTAAGAAAAAATGGGGATCAAACATGCTCTTAATTTATCTTCAGAGTTCTGAGAATAACCTCCACTTTTTCAATATGACGTAAATGGGTCCGAATGATAAATTTCATTCAAATATAAAAAAGGAATGGCAATATCATGGAACAAGTTAGTAAAAAGGAATAGGTTTCTAGTTTTTGTTTAGGCTATTTGAGGGGGTGGAGGGTCTCATCCTTCCATCTTCACACCACAATTTCAAATGGGGTCTCATTTTAAATTTCGAATGGCATTTACATAATGACATAAATTGAAGAAGTGAAAACGAGGAAAATATGATATAAATAAAACTCAAAGGCATTCAACTGATACATTAGAAATAATACCATCAGACAAAACCCATAAATGATAGTATCCTCTGTAATTCTGGAGGTAAAGTACATGTCCCTACACCATTATATGCTTTTGTTTTATCAATAAAAAGGTAGGGATATCCAACTCCAACCCCCACAAAAAAAAAAATTTGGGTTGAGGTGGAGACCTAAAAAATCCCACCTTCGCTTGGATGGTGTCTTAACTAAACAAAAATGTTACTTCTAATTTTTCCACTAAAACTTGTATTTCTTTTACGGTTTTACTTAGCTATGTTTTACATTAAGCTATTTTTCTTTACAAACTTTACCACTTTCCACATAATTGTGTTTTTTCTTTTACTTTGTTAATTTTTTATCAATAAGTAAATCAAGTGATATAATATATTTTTGAGAAAAAAATCCAACTGATCAGAAAATGTCAAACAACAATTCAATTTGAAATTGGAAGAGATTTGGTAATTACTAACATAACAAAAATTGTTAGAACTATATGCAATAAGCGTAATATTACGCCGCGTAATATTAACATCTCAGACAGAACTAGATCAAAAAATTTAAAAAGACGATATGTTCAAAGCCCAAAGAAATACAACCGACTACAGTCTTTCTGCCAAGTAACTCAATTATCATACAGAAGCACAAATATAAATACGGGCATGTAGATATCAGCGATAGCTAAAGTCAGGACAGAATTCTGAAGGACATGAGCACCATATGTCAAAGTTACCTCTAGTGGCGAAAGACAAATATTTTACTCAAAATCAGGGAAAAAAGGGTTGAAAACTTGAAGAATGCTACCAGGCTTTCATGTATAAGTTTCCCATTTGCTCATCATTATAATGTACAGTCTATTATTCAAAATAATATAAAGATTCAGCATTTTCCAAAGGTATAAACATGAAATTGAGATATTGCCATGAACATAAAGCACCCTCGATATTGAACTGATTTCTCCCCTTTCCGACAAGTATCACATATTATATGCCATGGGTGATAAGCATTTGATTATAACACAACATGGATAGTCTCAAGTCCCCAATTGGAAAAATATAGAAGATGCAAAACTGACAAATACAGAGATATAGCTCTTACATATAGCTGTGATAAGCCTACAAATAAATCATATTATTTAAAAGGCATATTCTCATATTAACCTTAGCATACCCTCATTAAAATCACAAGTTATAGATTTCTTTGCAATCTTCAGTAGAATATTTTCATTCATAATTAAAACTCAGATATCACTGACTAGTCAAATTCTCTATTCAAAACATAATGAGAAACAAATTGCCTATTTCTCTCAAAATGGTTACATGGCTTCAGAGGAGTGATATCAAGATCCACCATGTGAATATCACTCCATCGACAATAGATCTTAAACTTTCTTTTGAAGAATTTCAGAGAGATTGATGGGTATATAATTATCTATAAACAGGGTTACAGAGACATAATAACAGTTGAACAATCCTGGTCTTTCATGTTGTTTAGCAAAAACTTATGTTGTTTCTTGTAAATAATTATATATACTTCAATTTTGATGGTGAAGGAACCATTAGAACTTCTGATAATATAGTGACCAGAGTACTTGATCATCATTGTTTTCAAGAAGCCTTAAATAGATCTAAAACAAACTTAGCCATGGAGATCCCTTAACTTGACCCTGTAAATAATGAAATTGCAATCAAATTTTTAATTTTATTAACATTTATAATAAATCCATGCAAACCATGTACCGATTCTCGTATTCCTCAGTTTTCTGCTAATGGCCAACTTCTGAGTAATTGCTTGACGAAATTGTTGCAATAGGTCAGATCGTTCAGCCTGCTCAACCATCATACAGAGGGAGTATGTGGCGGTCAAGTTAGATCATAGATGAGCTTTTGGATAAAATTTGACGGGTTTAGAATCAAACGGTAAGGATTGCTTTCTGGAAGTCTTTGGCCACATTGTATTTATAGGAAAATTGTTAGGTCAAGAGACTCCTTTGGCGGACGACCATTTCATTGGGTAGTGTCTGGTGATTTTTCATTAAGCCCGTCTGGCAACAATTTATTTAGATTAAAAGCCATTTTTCTACCGTTGGCTGGACAGCAAGTGGGTCCCAGTGTGAGAAGCAAGTCCAAAAAAAAAGGTAGCAAGGGCCAGCAACGGTGAAAAAAAAAAAAAATCATTTTTATCTTGCTCAAAATTTCTCCCAGACAAGGGCTAAGTTCTTATTGGTTGGGATATAGCTTGACATGCGTTTCTAGAACTCAAAGTGACTGTCGCACTGGTTATGTGTCTGGACACGCTTATCTCATCAGCTTGTCCATTCTTGAGAAATGGACTTCGATCACCTCTTAAAGCATGAGCTCAGCCACTTCATGACTTGGTTCACCTGCCAACTTTAGCCTTCTTAGCCATGTCAATTTGGTCCATTATGAAATGTCATGTCATTCTTGAGTACAACAGATCACAAAAGTCTAAATTGTTATATTTATGTCAGGTCAGACGTATTGTTGAGGCTGGATGGTATGTGGCATTAGTTGCTCGCCATGGTGCTGAGGTGCCACTTACCTATGTAAATTCCTCTTCGATCTCCTAGTTTGAAGGTAGTGATTTAGCTGGCACAAGCTCAGTCACTCTGTGGCTTGGTTCACCCGTTTATTCAGCCTTCATTTCCACATCTACTTGTCGATTCTAAAATGCCTAGTAGGTTGTCTAACGTAATGTATAACTAAAGATTACATCTTTTAAAAAAATATTAAACCCAATCATTATATATCCATATTGAAGATAAAAAGGAAATCTTTACTTATTAAAATTTCCGATAATTATATGATACTGCTAACTCAAAAAGATATTTATCTTTAAAAATTATTAAAAATGCTAAAAAAATAAAATTCAAAGCCCCATAGATTTACAGTACCTCGGCTTTGGCAGAGGAGGCGCCACCAAGATCCCCCATGTGAATTTCTCTCCCCTCCGTGTAACAGCCAGCGCATAACCCTTCTCCTCATTCAACCTCCACAAGCGCTGTATCACCTCTCGATGCCACTCGCGATTGCCGTGGCACATATTGATCCGAGCCACGTTCATTCCGCCTCCAGCCAGCACCTCCAACTGCTCCGCCTCGCACGTTTCCGGGTCTATCGTGCATATCAGTTTCGTCCTTCACGTGCTCCTGAACCCATTCTCCTTCAATTCTGCCTCCGTCACGGCATTGACATCAATTGAGCTCGGATCAGCCACCGCGGTAGCAGATGAAATAGCCTGGTCCTGCACTGCAGCTTATAACACCCCTCCGGAACCATTACCTGAGGCTTTAACGACATGGGAGGTTTTCCGGTGGGTTCTGGTGACCGGTAACAGGAAAGTGCCTTGGATGGATAGTTTCACGGTGGCAGGTTTGGGAGTTTGGGTAGCGGGAGGTGGAGATAAAGAGATTAATATATGGCGACATTTTTCTAGTGGCGGATGTTGAGGAATAAGGCTCCAACATGTGATCCATGATGGACCTCTAAAATTGGCTTAAAATCGTATTTTGCTGGATGCGTTCTTCTTAATGTTGCACTTATTATGAGATGGTGACACGTGTGTAATTTCTGGCCCTTGGATTATTGTCCTGGTGATGTGTGATATAGAGCTTGTTTGGAAATGATTAAAATCGGATTAAAATTGAAAAATTAACTGTAATTGTTGACTTTTATTAGACGGGTGGGACCCAATAACGACTATATTTTCGATTTTAATTGGATTAAAATCATTCCCAAACACACCCATAAATAATGCACAATGGAAGATATTTTTCATTCATTATGCCTTTCGAGTCCTTCATTCCTCCTGGGTTCTCTTGAGAGTCCCTTTTCTGTAAATTAGAGTTTGGGTCTTTTATAGTCTTCATCTCTCTTGATGAACTTGTAATATTGAGATCATAGTTGTCGATTAGCCTCTGTAATCTGTTATTTTGAGCGATTGCTGTGAGATTAGGGTTTTCTTGTAATCGCAGTTTCAATGGGCTGTTTGTGGGGTTTCTTTGTGATTCCTCTTAGATCTGCAATTTTGTGGAAAGAGCTAAGTGTCTTATGTCTTTCTCTTGTATTTGGAAGAACTATTTGTAACTTGTTGCCATTTTGGGCTTATTAGTGCAACTGAGCGAATATCCATTATTTGGAAGCTCAACGGGGGTGTAGGCGTTGGATTTGGTTGCCGAACCTCCTGAGCTTAAGCCGAAACAATTCTTGGTGCTCAATTTTTATTTTTCTGCAAAGTTTATTTTCTGACTTGTTGGAATCTTGTTTTAATATCGTGTGTTTGGGCCTTTTCATGATATTAAAGCCTGAACTAAGAACTAGATACCTGGACCTTTGTAGAAAAAGTTCGATCGGTTGTAGATCACGAGTTTTTGGAACTGCTGTTAAGCAAGTCTTAAAGATACCGAGTTTTTTAAAACTCGCTGGGTGAGATCTTTCTAACTTATGTAAAGTTTCTTTTTCGAATTAGAGTTTCTCGAATAAAACCCTCAGGAGACTAATCTTTGTCCAAAGACTCATACGAGGTTTTGGCTTAGAATCTATGTAGATTACTCCCGGTGTATCTGGGGGATCTTGCAGGAGAATTCTATGAAACATAGACTTTGTAATCTCTGTTAGGGTGTCTTTTAATTGATCTTGTTCTGCATGATCCTTGATTGTGATTGAAACTGTGAAATCTTGTATTGCTAAGTGTACTACTGTGATTTTAAGCTGTTGTAATTGCTGTGAGTCTTTGTGCCTTACTAATATCTTAAACACCTATTTGTGTATCATCTTGATAATTCAAAACGGCTTTTGCTAAGTGTGAAGTTCCATAATTTGATGGTAGATGTGATTTTAATATTTGGTGTCAAAAGATGAAGGCAATTTTAATGCAAATGAGAGTTGTTAGGGCTCTTGATAATAGTTGGCCTTTAAATTTGCTTCATGATAAGAGAACTGAACTTGAAGAAGTTGCATGGAGTACTATTTTCTTATACTTATCTAATAATGTTGTGAGAGAAATTGGTGAAACCAAGACTACTTTTGAACTTTGGGCTAAACTGCATGCTAAAATGTGACTAAGACTATTCCAAATAAATGTTTCTGCTGAAACAATTCTTTTATTTTAAAATGGACCCTTCTGTTGATTTGGATGAAAATTTGAATAGATTTACCAAGTTGACCCAAGACTTAGCCAACTATGATGAAAAGCTTTCAAAAGATCTGTTGACTATAGTTCTGTTAAACTCCATTAGTGATAAATATAGAGACATCAAGGTTGCTCTTAAATATGGTAGGGCTCAGATTACTACTGATGAAATCATTAGTGTTTTAAGAAATAAAGCTCTTGAAATTAAATCTGAGACAAAAAGTCATTATGGGTATAACCTGCTTACTAAGGGAAAAGGGTTTGGTAAGCCTAATTTTCACTCAAAGCACTTAAATGAAAATAAGAACAAGTGGCATGATAAAAGCAAATCCAAGAATAAGGCAAAAGGCAAGAAATGTTATCACTGTGGTAAGATGGGTCATTTTATTAAAGATTGTTACAAGAAAAAGAATGAAACAAAATATAAGACTTCTGATGATGGGAATGCTTCTATGGTCTGCAATGAAAATAATATTGAAGATAGTTTAGTCCTTGTTAATAATGAAAAGAAGCTATGTGAAGAGTGAATACCAGATTCAGGCTGTTCTTTTAATATGTGTCCCAATGAAAATTATTTTCTTAATTTTGAAGCTACAACTGGGGGGCAAGTAATAATGGGGAACAATATGACTTGTAAAGTTAAAGGAATAAGAACTGTTAAACTGCATCTAGAAAATGATAATGTACTATTCCTGAAAGATACAAGATATGTACCTGAATTAGAGAAAAACTTGGTGTCTCTAGGCATGTTGGATGATATGGAATTTGACATAAAATTAGGTCGGACATATTAAAATTCTTAGGGGATTTGACTTGGTCATCAGCACCCCTAAGAGACATGGTCTTTATTTTTTGAATGCTAAACTTTTACTTGACTTAACTGCTGCTTTACCTGACGCCTTTACTTTAGCAAAATTATAGCATGACAAATTTAGCCACATTGGCAAGAAAAGTTTTGAGTCTTTACAAAATAAAAGAGTTTTTGGAAAACAAAACCTTGGTGATTTTGGTTCCTGTGAACAGTGTGTTATTGGCAAACAAGTTAAGTTACCTTTCTTACTTGAAATTTATAAATCCAAACAAAAACTTGAATATTTGGGGGTCCTACCTCAGTGACTACCTTAACTGCTTTTAGATATTATCTTTTGATCATTGATGATTTTTTTTAAAAAAATTGGATTTTCTTATTAAAATCAAAAGATGAAACATTTTCTATTTTCAATTATTGGAAAACACAGATTGAGAACCAAACTAGTCATAAGATAACGACTCGAAGAACATATAATGGTTTGAAATTTTGCAATTATGAATTCAATAATTTTTGCAAAGAACGTGGCATTTTGAGACATAGAACAGTTGTTTACACTCCTCAGCAAAATGGCATAGCTGAAAGAATGAATAGAACTTTATTAAATAAAGTGAGATGCATGCTTTTGAGTTCTGATTTACCTAAACTGTTCTGGGGTGAAGCTGTAAAAACTGATGCTTATTTTGTAAATAGAACCCCTACTAGTTCTTTAAACTTTGATGTGCTTGAAACCGTTTGGTCTGAAAATCATGTTAACTATTCTCACCTGAAAATATTTGACTATGCTGCATATGCTCATCAAAATATTGATAAATTGGAACCTAGATCACTTAAATGTATTTTTTAGGTTATGGTGAAAATGTTAAAGGCTATAGACTATAGGTTAACAATGAAAAAGGCTATATGGTGATTGTTAGAAGAAATGTTATCTTCAATGGGTCTATTATGTCATGCTTAGAAGGAAAATAAAATAACTTGACTGAAAAAAATGTTCAATTTGAGGTGGATCCCTCTTTAATTGAAAATAAAACACCTGCTTTGACGTTGATAAATCTGATCTTGATAATAATGATATCCCTGTTGAAACTGACAATATTTCTGAAATTGGAGATCTTACTGATTCTGCTCCTATGGCTGTCGAAGAAGATCAACTCACAATAGATAGAGAAAGGAGGCAGATTAGACCTCTTGCAAGGTTTGATAATGATGATTTTGTTTCATTATCTACTTATCAAGATCAATTTGAGAATGAACATAACTTCTATGATGATGCTATAAACTGTAAAGATTCCGTACTTTGGAAAGCTGCTATGGATGATGAAATGAGTCTACTTTTTTAAAAATAAGACTTTGGTATTGGTTAAAAGATCTAAAGACCAAAAACTTATTGATTGCAAGTAGATCTATAAGATAAAGGAAGGTGAAGGGGGGAATAAAAAATGTTAGATATAAAGTTAGACTGGTAGCTAAAGGGTTCACACAAAAGGAAGGTGTTGACTATACTGAATTTCCCTGTTGTTAAATATACCATCATAAGATGTATTCTTGCCCTTGTTGTTCAATTTAGATGGGAACTTGACCAATTAGATGTAAAAATTGTTTTTCTTTATGGTGATTTAGATGAAAATATCTATATGAGACAACATGTTAGTTTTATTAAAGGTAATTCTTAAAATAGTGTATGTTTGTTAAAAAAATCTCTTTATGGTTTTAAACAAGCCCCAAAACAATGGTATTAAAGGTTTGATATCTTTGTTTTGAAACATGGTTTTCAAAGACGCAATTATGATGTTTGTCTCTGCTATAAAGGTAAATGAGGTAAAAGTTCTTTGTACTTAGTTCTCTATGTTGATGACATGTTCGTTTTTGAGCCTTTGTAATCTGTTATTTTGAGCGATTGCTGTGAGATTAGGGTTTTCTTGTAATCGTGGCTTCAGTTGGCTGTTTGTGGGGTTTCTTTGTGATTTATCTTAGATTTGCAGTTTTGTGGAAAGAGATAAGCGTCTTGTGCTTTTCTCTTGTATTTGGAAGAACTATGTGTAACGTGTTGCCATTTTGGGCTTATTAATACAACCGAACGAATATCCATTATTTGGATGCTCAACGGGGGATGTAGGCATTGGATTTGGTGGTTAAACCTATGGGCTTAGGCCGAAACAATTCTTTGTGTTCAATCTTTACTTTTCTGCATAGTTTATTTTCTAACTTATTGGAATCTTATTTTAATATCGTGTGTTTGAGCCTTTTCAGCGAAGGTCCACCGTACATCGCGCTGGGAATTCTGAACAACAGTGAATTGTAGAGGCGACGGGGCGGAGTAAGCAAAGCAAATGAGTGAAG